CTAGACTCAGAATGCATCCCACGATCATGGAGGCCACAGAAATCGCCATTTTCCTCATACGCAGGGACGGCAACGTCTAAGGAAAACAGCGAACACATCCCGCCACCGCTGAACTTGCGATATTCGATGATCGTTATATGCCCACCCTGACGAACTCCTCTTCCATCTAACGACAAAAGTGCTGAAGTTGATGTCCCAACTCGCACACTCCACTGCACTGCCGAACGAAATGCTGCCTGAAATACCACTCCACAGGTTGTAATTAGTGACATCTACCCTCTTAAAAAAACACAGGAACTACAGGCAAGTGAAGGCGAAACGCGCCTACCAACTTCATCTTTAACACCCTGCTCTCCAAAATTTACTGTAAATATATTTTTAAAATTTTGTCAAAATATTGTCTTTGTTGTACCACAAACCTAAACTACAAATATAAAGAAAGTATGGTAATAAATTGACTCCAACGATTGTTCACAACTTTGTATTTATTTTAGATTTTTCAAGTTTTACTTCGCAGTTCTGACGCGTGTCGCTTACAGCTTTTAATTTCAGAGCGCATTAACTTTTTGAACGAAAATTACGGCGGCCAATGACAGTCTGGGACAATCATTTTTAAATGAAATCTTCATCAGAAACGGAGGACTAAGTTACCACAACTAAGACTATTTCTGCGTGCAGAAACACGTCTCTCTTCTGCGCAATTTGTTGTTTCTCTTTCATAGCTACCGTTTTAAATGCAAATGTCAATGCGCCTCTTCCACTCTCGCAGGCCTGGTAATTTTAACCACCGCTGACAAGTATTTAGAGTAAGAGGTGTATAATCGCGTAGTGGGCCCACATACTCACGCAGCACCCGGACCTCCAGAAACGTCTCTTCGCTAGCGTTTTCAATATTTATCAACTCTAAAATTTCTCTCTCGCTTCTTGAACGCTGTCGTCTTTAATTACTCTTGGCAGTATGATGCCATGGATTTAGATGATAATTCTGAAGGGAGATCACCCTGATAATTGAGACAGCAAGCGCCTCTAAATCGTCTGTACCACCTGTAGAGCAGACTGCATGAAACAGCAACCACGAGACAGCCATCTTGAAACTCATCGACCTGAGAACATCAAATCTCATTAGAATGATTGTTTCGTTTATAAGGTGTACTGAAGTGAGCTTCGTCCAGGCAGTGTGAGTAACTTTTGCACGTGAACCTGCACTGCCTGTCCGTCGCTGTAGGTACCCGTTAAAGTTTTGTCAAACAAAAATGAAACACACAAATTTGTTTATCCTTCTTACCTTACGAACATGAGTATGAGAAGTAGGCTTATGAGATCGTCACGCTTTTAACTTTTAGAGGACGGTGTTGATTCAGGCTAAATTTTGTATGAAGGTTGTGCTACTGGAGGTGACCCTAATTTCATATTTCTAAGTTCCTGTAGCTCGTAATAATAACATGGCGAAACGACTTACTTCTGAGGTGGGAGCAAAATTAACGCCTCTTGGAACAGGGCCCAGAAATTATGAATGGCGTTCTCAATCAGTACGCGGTTTTTGTCAAGGACCATTTTTAAAAAGTGAAACGACATAACGGCACTGATTTTCGGACCAGCCAAATTCTTTGATAATTTGGACGCAATCATTTCCGAGATAAAGTAGCGGGAAATACAATGATGTAATCGACCCTTTTATCTGTCATGTTATAAGATAAAGAATGACTGATTTGATAATTGAAAGAATGTTAATGATTGATGTTTCTGGATTAAATAGGTGTTTATTTGATGTACGCAAATAATAATTTAAGCCTTTGTTTTAACATGCTGACTCAACAACTGCAAGAGCCAATTACAAATTCAGGATAGAAGATAAAAATAAATACAAAATACAGAAGGAAATAAAAATTGTGAACAAAACGAAGCTGAGCTAAAACTTCTCGAATCGAGAGGTATTCAAAGACGAAAAAGTTTCTGATGAGAAACTCCAAAAATCTGCGTATGTCATGCGCAGTAGCAGATGGAAAATTCTTTTGTTTGCAGGTAAGGGTGACACGTGCACTCGATCCCCACAAGAAGAAATCTAAAGGCGTTAGATCCGGCGAACGAGGTGGCCGACCAATCCACCGACCTGGGAAACGGTTGTTGAGGTACTCGCGCACTTCTCCGAGTTAATTAGGGGGTGCACCGTTTTGCTGGAAGTGGTCATCTTCGTCAAGTTGAGGAATGAGGAACTGTCCAGATACACAATGCCGGTCGTCTTCAACCCGCCGCAACATTCGTGTACAAAATTTCTTACGAGCCAGTTTATCTCATCTGAAATGGCTTGCACCATGGATAATATGTAAGCTCTTAAGTGTAAACGTCTTCGTAACAGTCACATGTGGAATCCCACTTTCCCGAGATGCACGTCTCGTTGACTTGCGTGGACTTCGAGAGAAGCTTTCCCTAATCTGTTCCACGACGTCTTCAGAAACACGTGGCCTACCAGCTTTATTGGTATGTCACATGAAACTTGATGTGTTTGGCTAAATTTGTGCATCTAAAAATATTGCGCACGTCCTTTAAATAAATTTATATTCTCCTGCGAAGTTGTAAAGCTACTTTTGAAACACGGTGTATTTTATGAGGATCTATTATAATATTTCCTATAGCATAGCTCAGCGTGGTCCAACTGGTGGCCCGCGGGCCGAATAATGAGGAGCTTCATAATTTGTAGCCATAGTAGAGATAAGAGCGCACCCAAAATTATGATCGGAAAACCTCAATTTAAGAGGCCAGGTTAAGATATGAGGATAATATTAAAATTAAACACGGATAACTATACTGCGAGGATAGAAGGTGGACTCAGCTTCACTGGGACAGAATCCACTGACAGCAATGTAAATTTGTGGTTCAATCGAGGCTCAGAATTCATTAACAGCCGTGCAACCATCAGCTTCCAAGGCATTGGTCTGGTTAAATTCTTAAGCGCAAGGATTTTTTTAAACTCGTATTCTCACTGTAGTTCATTTGCCCAGGGTGCTGTCTGCTCACCTGGGGCTGTTCGTCGTTCAATCACAGCAACGCAAAATCGGTGGAGTTGTCGTTAAGGTCCGCGTCTGCTGCAGTGGCCGACTCATTGCCGGAAGAGTCCTCACAAGGAAGCCTGGCTGCATGGGTGGAGCAGGGGCGAAGGCAAGTCTCAGCCATCCCGTGGTGCTGGCTACGACCCGCTCTCTGGTGAGTGTTCGCAAGAGATGGCCCTGCAAAATGCCGTCCTCCAGTTCGTTGCTGAGGACCAGAACTATTCCGACACTCTCGACTTTCCTGCCAACAAGGTGAATCGTACTTTTCGTTTGTCGGTCCTGTTGGCTGTTCATTTCCGTGACTTGTCGTACATCTTTCTTCATAACTACAAAATCCACAACCATGGTATTTGGTACACACGGGTGTCTGCATCTCCTTGCTCGTTGTGTTTGTAAGCAGACGCCACTCTGTTTTCTAAAAGACAAAATTTGTTTCAACACTTCGATAGAAAAATATATAATAATTTTATGACGTTTTGTGTTAGAGGCGTAGAAGAATGTGATAATTTTCAGAAACAGTATTGCTTTAAGTTTAATATATTTTATATAGTTCCTGAGGAAAATATTTCTATATCTATAAAAAAAAACATGTTTCGAGAAAATGGAAAAAAGAATATTACTACGGAAGACAAAGTAAGTCTTTCAGAAAGCCGAAAACACCACGTGTGGCTGTGAAATTTGTAGTTGTTTAGAAGAAGTGGAGATTAATACGACAGAATTTACATTACGAAAGATAGGACATTTCACCTCCCCTTCAGACTTATTACCCGAATTTATTAACGTAACATTTCAACATGTACCTGCGGTGTTATAAGAATTTTCAGGCCTCGAGGCAGAAACCGAATGGGAGATTAAAATTTTTGTGAACTTTTACAGTTTTTGGTGATTGTTTGAGGTTTCTATAGAAATCCAAATGTGAGATGTAAATAAAAATATGAGTGAATTATGAGAATAATAATATTAGGCGTAATAATAAATGGTTTGATAATGGAACACGCTACTGAAAGAGGATCGATTCGCGATTGTACAGTCTTCTTTGAGGCTAGTATAAAAATAAGTGGCTTTTTCATGCCCTGTTCAACGCTAATCCAGAGACGGATTTGACGAGAAATGAGGACTGTGACGGTATGACGCGGCTCTAGGGACAAAGACGTCATGCAATTAGCAGCAGCCTACTAATTTCTGTATGTCAAGTAGCTGCCCACATTTATCTGAATTTTCTCTGCTCTTTTGAATATATTATCTACGGGAAGGCGAGAATCACTCGTTTCACTGTTGACGGTCAAAGCCTGTGTCACGCACTCAACTGCTTGAACTTTCGTAAACGCATACAAATTTCCTGTTAGACACCCTGAAAGAAAGGCACTGCTTAGAATAATTAGGTATAAATGGGAGAATATTATTAAACTGGACCTTGAAACAG